ATACGCTTGAAATTTGAAGTAAAACGGAAATACTCACTAATTGTTGTTGTGATTGTTGTCGAAACACTTGTTGTGGATCCACTTGTGTAGGCTATAACAGACACAACAAAACATTATGAAATATAGGCTTCATTTAGATGCAAAAAACAAAACACTTGGGCGATTGATTCTTATCTTCTTTCTTCTGCTGAGAAATTAATTTTAAACAGCTTCTGACATGAGAGACTTATAGTTATAGATAAATCATGAATAAAAAGAAGATATGACAATTCTTCGATTTCTGGAAAATTCTTAGTTCTTTTGTGAGTTCATAATCGAGTAGAATTAAAACAAAATCGTATGATTATCCGTTTTTGTACACTTACATTGCTGTTTAATATATAATGTAAGGAAACTAGTTAGTGGGATACCACCTAGAAGTATGCCTACAACTACCAAGATTAAACATAAATCATATTTTCGTTGTTGGTACATCATGTTTTCTGTTTATATGAATGTTATGTATGATGAAATCAATAGGATATTGATTGTCGACATATGTTTTATTCGATGCCAAAGTTTGTTTTTAATTTTACATACATAAGATCAATAGTTTTAATGAATTTTTTTTCTGTCTATGTGAAAATGTTATTTCAAAAAACAAATCGGACAAAGGAGATTAGATGGCTTCTGTCTTTAATTTTAGTTGATGAATTTTCATTGACAAGTCTCACAAGAAATTGCATTTTTTCTCGTCAAACAAATTTTCATCAATAAACAGAGAATATCAATGTAAAACTAATACGACAACTAATCCTATCTGACATATCACCAAGCAAAATAACAAAAAAAAAAGTCTGAAATAGCAATTACAATCCAGACCAGATCCAAGATTTTTCCCAGTGACTTAAGAAAAACTTCAATCAATAAATTTCATCCATAAATCAGAACTTGAAAGATTCCACAATCTACAAAGCCGGTGTCTAATCAACAAGTAAAATAGAAAACAATTATAGTGTCTATTGTGAAATTCTTTGCACAAAAACATTTCTGGCAATGTAAGATAAGTGTGTTGGATCCTGAGCTGGATTCTCTAGTAAATTATACATAGTTCATATGTCGAACATACTTGTCAGAGGACTTATTTTATAGTCTGCATTGTATCGCAACTATGTTCTACTGTTTTTGAAAGAAGAAAGAAGTCGTCCAGGATCTATCATAGTTCTTCAATCAAGCATAGGATTGTGCAGAGAATGCCCATAGGTAGATGTGAACGCTTGACTTCTTTAATTCAAAGAAAATGGCAAGATAAAAAAAACCTTTATTGAATATTATTTTGTTAATAATGATGAGTATGGGTGCGATGTGCGCACACGATACACCAATAAGCTCAAACACACAGTTTGTTATATTCTGGACTTGAGAGAGGTATAATAACTTTTCAGTGTGATCATGACTGTCAAAAAGTTATGACTGGCTTCACTTTATCTCATGAACATAGGTGTAGATGTGGTCTTTTTTTCTTTCACACCCACATCTCCATCAAACACATTTTCTAATGCATAGAGTTTTGTGTAGATTATCCAATCGTAAAGCTCTTTAGTCATGTATAATAAAACAATAATGACTTCAACAGAATTTCAAGCATTTTTTCAGGTATTAGCTATAATTATTCTCTAGAAAACTATTTATGTCAACCAACTATTTGTATATGCATTTCATGCAGATGATTATAGTGAGTAGTCAACAACTTTTATATCATTCTTTTTATTTCTTTCGTGCATTTTCAAACACAAGAAATTCGAAATTCACCCAAATCCTTTCCACAATGAATTCGTCACTCCTTATTTCTACTACTTTATTAAATTGTGTGACTATGTAATGTAAGTCAAACAAGTTATTATGCACAATTGTTTTTAATAAGAAATACCAAACCAGTTTACATTCCATAGATATGTTTGAGAATAACTAAGTAATTGTGTATTAGTCATGGTCTCCAAGGAACGACTGTAAATTCTAAATGATGTTGTTGTAGGGCTATAAATAGCAGTGTAACCTGCTAATATCCAGTGCAAGTTATTACCAGCCATACTAGTGAAATAGAGTGGAGTTGAATTAAAACCACAAGTGCTCGTACTAATGTCCATATATATTCCATTAGTAGAATATAGTTGCCAGAGTGTATAAGATGAGATACCTTCACAATAATACGCTTGATTTGTTGCTACTGTTGTAGTTGTTGAAGTCGTTGTAGTCGTAGCTAAAAGAAAAACAAGAAAACATATTATTAGTAACCGACTACTGAGTGGTTGATAAAACGCTAGTGTACAGGAGATCTACAAAATTCGTTTGTTTCATTAGATTTTGCTTCACGAAAACAATATAGAGAATATTGAATTTACCTAAGAATAAACGAAAATTGATAAAAAAAGATGACTTTCTTAAGTTAATTAATACTAAGAAAAATAATTATGCTGTTTTACTATAGAAATTTAGTCTCTTCTATTAATATAAAACATCACTTGATCACATAGATTATAACCAATGATCAGTTAAATCAAAAGTCATCAACGAATAATAATCAATCAACAACTGAAAAGTAGACAAAAAATATCCAAAAATTTATCTCTAGGAAATTCATACAAGCCTTATCTCTGTGATAGCGATATTCTATTGTTACAACTAGCAGCAATGCGATAGTTTTAATATACTATGTACACTAAATCAAAAGCAAAATACTTACAGGTTGTGATTGTAGTTGTTGTTGAAGTACTTATTGCAGATGTGCTTGTGTAGGCTAAAAAAAGAGACATAAGCATAATGGAATATGAATTTCATTTGTATGAAGAAAATCATCTTGCTAGTTGATTACTCTTTTCTTTTTTTCTGTTGACAAATCAATTATAACAAGTTTTTTACATGAGAGATATAAATCATGAATAGGTAACAAATTGTGACAATTGACGAGCTCCTAGAAAATAATTCTCCATTCTAACGGGTATTCATTATCAAGTAGAATTGAAAACGATTGAAATTTCTTTTTGATTGTTGAATTTATAAACAGATACTAGAACTATTTAGATATTTCTATCACGATTAAATGTTTATACTACAACGAAATTATTCATCTGTAGATTTTGTTTGTTTTTTAGAAGAATACAATAGCTTGAGAATATTATCTGAAAACTAAAACTGATATGATTATCTGTTTATTTCCACACTTACATTGTTGTGTCATATGTAATGTAAGGATAGTAGCTAGTACGATACCACCTAGTAGTATGCCTGTAAGTCCCAACGCTAAACAGAAATCATAGTTTAATGGGTCGTCCGTCAAATTGTCTATTTCTTTCCCCATGATGAATTATTTATGGTTAACTTATAGTTGTTGCAAAACAGAGTGTGAATTTGATTTTTTTTGACGTTATATGAATAGTACTTATTATGAAAGCAATATATTATTGATTGTTGACGTGTATGTTTTATTAGGTGCTAAAGTTTGTTTTTAATCTTACATACATAAGACCGGTAGTTTTAATAGATTCTTTTTTTTGTTTCTATGAAAATGTTATTTCAAAAAACAAATCAAACAGAGGAGATTAGATGGCTTCTATCTTTGATTTTATTTGATGAATTTTTATTGACAGATCTAACAACAAATTTCATTCTTTTTCGTCCAACAAACTTTCATCAATATAAAGTACAATTGTACGAAAGATTTCTTTCTAATGATTTAAATATTCTTTTAGTAGGAACTGTGTAAGATACTATGTGAGAATTTGCGTACGCTGAACAGGAATATCTGTGGGAAACTCTAATATACACAATTCAAAGACAACGTCAACTGATAAGCTTTACTACTAAAGAAATATACAATTTTCTATAGAATGACGGCAACTATCACCTGAAAAAATGATTTGACTTGCATTGAAATCATGATCGTTACATTATAATATGCCAAAGCCCTTTACATCTTATACTTTTTGTATGAACAAAAATATCCTTATAATTTTTGAATCAGTAAAATCAATAGAAATGAGTTCTTCGGAGCTAACTTTTTTCAAGTCGCGAATCTCGTTTGGTAGAATCCGTTTTATTTTCAAACTGTCTCATGGAACAGAATAAACAGAATTCGAAACTGTCTCGAATGACTCTACGATAAAATGTTAAAAAAAGTTATTATTCACTCTTTCATTCAAAATTTGAGAAATATGAAAGAGATATTGCTAATCATAGGTAGATTTTTTTACTCTGTCTGTTTATCTTGAAACATTTCCTCACATTCCTTTTACTTAATCCTTCCAAAATACAATAACTAAGTAGTTAATATATATTGTTTAGATGGAGGAGAGATATTCTTTTGATATCCATATTCGTAGTTTCCGAGTTCACCGAAACTTTATCATAGCTGACCCTACCAGAAAAAGCCTTCTGTATAAATACAGTATCAAAATATGATTTTTCTTGATGAACATAAAGCCGAAAACTAAGTAATTCAAAACGAATCGAGATTCAGTGTCATATCAGCAGTGATAGATAGTCTAAATTTTCAAGGTTGATTATTCTGTATTTGTGAAATATTTGGTTTGAAAATACAAAATAAAGAGTTTGTTGTTATCCTTGAACAAACAGAATGATGATCTGTGAGTTTGCATCGTGTACTTCACATTTTAATGTAAAACTCAACAATACTTCGAAAATGAAAAATGTTTTCTATATCTTCATAATGGTGAAAGAAATTGTTAAATCATCAAGAATAAATGGCCAGGAAATGAAACGTGAGTGGATTACCAACGAACAAACCGTGTACCTATCTGGTAAAAAACATGTACAATACAACTGTGTAGTTCAGTGTCAATTTTAAAATTGAAAATATTTCATCAAAGATAAATGTCTAACTATGAGTCTTCTCTTCAGCTAAACCTTTTTCACAATGTGTTTATTACTCTTTATTTATAATAGTTTATTTATTTGTCCAACTATTTTATGTAAGTAAAGGAAGTTAGTATACATAATTGTTTTCAATAAGAAACACCAAACCAGTTTACATTCCATAGATATGCTTGAGAATAACTAAGCATGTCTGTATTATTCAAGCCACTCAATGAACGAACATAAATTGTAAATGAAATATTTGTAGGACTATAAATAGCAGTGTAACTCGCTAATTCCCAGTGTATAGTATTGCCAGCCATACTAGTGAAATAGAGTGGAGTTGAACTAAAACCACAAATCGTCGTATCAATATTCATGTATATTCCGGTTGTAGAAAATAGTTGCCAGAGTGTATAGGATGAGAGACCTCCGCAATAATATGCTTTATTAGTTGCTACTGTTATAGTTGTTGAAGCTGTTGTAGTCGTAGCTAAAGAAAAACAAGAAGATATATTATTGTTTTTAAAGAAAACAACATAGAGAATGTTGACTTTACCTAACAATCAACGAAAAGTGATAAAAAATAACTATCTTAAAGTTTATAGTATCAACAAAAACGCATTTTATCCGTTTTATTATATAAATCTAGTCTCTTCGGTGTATAAAAAACCACAATTGTTTCCTTAGATTATAAATAATGTTAAGTTAAATCATAAGTCATCAACAACTGAGAAGTATATAAAAAATATCAAGAAACTATATCGAGAAAATTCATATCAGTCTCATCTCATTTAGCTTTGCATAGAACCTTTTTCAGAATAGGTCCGGATCGAGAAAACATTTATTATGGTTGCAATATTATGCTCTTACAATTAGAAGTGTTTCAATAGTTTTAATCTAATATGTAAACAAACAAAGCATAGGTCCACGAGAAATTAAATTTATTTCATTTTATTTTTCTATGCTGACATATCCTTTACTACTTTAGCAATAGGAACTAGAAACTTAACAGAATATTTATGCTGAATAAAAAAGTATTCTTTGTATTTCTTATTTGGAAAAGTTTTTTGAAAACAAGATCAAATAATGCTCTTCAAATTGTAACTAAAAGCAAAATACTCACAGGTTGTGATTGTAGTTGTTGTTGAAGTACTTATCGTAGATGTAATTGTATTGTAGGCTAACAAAAGAGACATAAGCATTATGAAATATGGATTTTCTTTTACATGAGAGATATATATCATGAATAGAAATAAGATGTGACAATTGGTAAACTTCTCGACAATAACTCTCAATTCTTATGTGTGTCCATTACTAAGTAGAAGTAAAAGAAATTAAATTTACTAAATGATATTGTTTTAACCATATGAATAGATGGATGAAAAATGCTCTCAACTGTAGAGAGATAATAAAAAAATTTCATTTTGATGGTAGAATCCATAAATAGTTAGCGAAAATATTTAGATATTCATATGACAATGAAATATCTGTAAAATAACGAAGGTATTCATCTGGAAATTTCGTCTTTGAGAAGAATAAAATAATCTGTAAATATTGTAGGAAAGCTACAACTATGATTATTTATTCTAAACTTACATTGTTGTGAAATATATAATGTAAGAACACTAGTCAATGGAATACTAGCTAGTAGTATGCCTATAAGCCCCAATGCTAAACACAAATCATATTTTGGTGGTTCGCCTAACAGTTTTTCTGTTTCATTCTCCATAATGAATTGTTTCTAGTTGAGATGCTGCAATTGTTGTAAACTAGAGAGTTGCTTTGATTTTGTTTTTGTGTTATATGAATACTCCTGATGACGAAAGCAATACATTATTGATTGCTGACGAATGTATTATCAGATGACAAAGTATTTTTTTTAAATTTTATATATAGAAGATGGATGATTTCAATAGGTGTTTTTTGTCTCTGTGAAAATATTATTTCAAAAAACAAATCAGACAGGTAATATTAGATGGCTTCTATCTTTGATTTTATTTAATGAATTCTTATTCGGAGAGCTTACAATAAGTTTTATTTATTCTTTTGTTAAAATTTCTTCATTCACATGGTGTATAATCATGCAAGATTTTTTTTTTCTGATTAATCATATATTCTTCTAATATGAACTGTTAAAGATACGATCTCTCGAAACCATTTTGAATTTAGTTAATCTGAACAAAAACACTTTTATTTAAAAGAAAAAAGCTGTTATTGCTAATTACAGAGAAACTATTTTATTACAACTATCTTGAATTATTGATATACAATTCTGTAGGCGAAGGAATCCAAACTTTCACCCATTCTATAAATTTCAACAGTCGTTTTGAATCATATTTCACAAAACAATTTGTTAACTTCAAATCCACCGCTTACAAGAACTGTAAAATTATTGTAATTGTCGATAATAACTCTCTTGACACATTTTCAGGAAAAATTTGTAGAAAAAAATTCGAATACTATATTCAATTATTTGAACAAGAGTTTCTTGACCACTGTTTCGAGAATTTCGCATGACATACTTCGTTTGTTGTTTTTTTACGAATGTAAATATGATAGAAATAAAGAAATTATTTAAAAAAATATATATTTCTTGGATTTATGAGATATAAAATTAGTTCAATTGTCCGAGAATTGGTGATATTTCATAACAATTATGATGAATTTGACAATTTTCTTTAAAATCTTCAACTGAAACATAATTTTTAGGCTCGGATTGCCACTGTTTGTATTCAAGTTTGATTATGTACTTCTTCATCATATATTGTTAATAATCGTAAAGTATGACAATTTTTTGGTAGTTCATTTTGTATAAAATTAATTAACATTATTATACTAGGTACCTTTAATATTTGACCTTTACATTTAATACTGAAACTAGATAATTGTTTGATTAGAATCGTATATATATTAGGTTGACTGTCAAATCTAATTAATATGATTATATCGTTGTGAATCCCAATGGTAGAAATATTTGAATTAATTAGTAGACTTTCATTGATACTTTTGATAATGAAAAAAATACTATTAGTCAGACTGTTTTTTCCCTCAATCTTTTTTTTTGTTTATTGTTATTTTAGGTGGCGATACAATGACTCATTTCTTTTTGAATCAATCCATTATTATTAAGAAAATAGTTTGTAACAAGCGAGAGGTGATCTACTAGTGTATTTATGTGTACTGTTGAAATTGAAGTAGAGCATTTTTCTGAGCCTGAGTCAGTTAAGATAAAATAATAAAATGAATACTAATTGAAATCAGTTTGAAAATAATTCAAGATTTTATTTGTTTGGATCTTGATTTATTGTTTCCTCGACAGAAAACAAGTATTATAATATTATAGTTTGGTTAAAAGAATATTAATCATTACCGTAGATATCATTCGATTAATTTTCAACTTTTTTATATGTTATTCAATTTGTTATAATAACTATCACATGCATCTGTAAAAAAAAATTTTTTTATTTATGCTTCCTTATGATTTATTGTGTTGCATGGGTACAATATACATACATGAATGTTTTCTCCAACACGATAATATATGTTCATGTTTTTAATAATTTATCTTTCTTTTCATGTATTCCATTGCTTTGTCATATGATTCCATACTATTTTAGATGCATTTTCATTAATTTTCCTTCAATGTTACAGTTAACACCAGAATTCAATTAAATTTGAAATGCGTTAATTAAGTTTAAAAAAATTCTCTTAAAAAAAATTATAATTTGAATAGAGCTTTATCAACGAGGATAACCAATTCGTTTAAAAACAAGATTTTACAAAATACAGTCACCTTAAACACCACCAATAAAAAAATTTGAATGTTTTCTATGGATTTTTTTTTCTTTTATTGTGTTAATAGAATATATATCAAAAATGATTATGCAGCATGTATCATCGATTGTAGTATTTGAAACTACAAAGTAAACTATCGATTTCATTAATGCTTAGAATCATTCATTATACTCTAATATCATAAGTATAAGATACATGTGTAGTGCAATTCGCCTTTCTTTGTCAAAACCGTACACATAAACTCCTTGTTCGTTTGAACAACATTGTTTTCAAAAACTTTTACCAATTCTTCTATGTCCCTTTGTCCTACAAATAAAAAAAAAATAATTGTCGAAATATATATTCTATTGAACCAAATAAATATAACCAATTTATTGTTTTTTTTATATGTTGAATAATAATCCAAACAAATCTTTCTTACCAAGTAAACTTCAAAAAAATATTAACAATAAAGAAATGTTTTTGATTTTTATACTGATGATATCTTTTATTGCAGAATTTCAGAACGCTATTCCAATTTCAACTCACTTTTTATTTATAATTTATTATAGTTAACGGCGCATAGTAATGATCTCATCAATGAATGAAACAATTCTTTCAATAGAAAGTGATACATCTGAACAATGTTCTGATCAGAAGTGATCAACCTAAAGTTAACAAGCTACTCATAACTCTTCAGAAATTATCTTATATTGGTATCTGTACCTCTTTTTTTGGAACTGCCTTGGGGTGATAACTCAAATAGTTAAAGCCTCTGTAGAATAATAATGTGTAAAAGTTACATGTGGCACGCTAAGCAAAGGCAAAACTACATGTCCTGTAATTGTGAAGGTTTCACGAAGTTTTCTGGAGAATTAACACCAAGAGAAAAACAGCACACCTAAAAGTATAAAGTAGATTAAAACAAAAGCGCATAGTGGATCCATTATCAAAAACTGACCATTTTTTTTACTTTGTTGGATCCATGTAAGTAGTGTTGTAAAACAAAAGGTTTCAATGTATTTGATTTAGATTAACCTGATGGTCTAGTATAGAATGAAACTCTTTATTTTAATTAAAGTGATATAAAATACAAACACATATTCACACAAGTGTGCATCTCTAATAGTTTATGTTCATTTGTATCGGAGAAAAAGTATAAAGTTTATTTAAAATTAATTGATGTTTGTATAACTTGCCATCGTTCAACAGTACATACAGATTGAGACTAGAATCTAAATCAAGATCCACTAGTTTTCTACTCAATTTTAATATAATAGTGCCCATCGTTACATTGGCGCAAAACATGACTATTCGCTTATTGTTATGGTCAGCAACGTACAAATTACCATTCGTATCTAATTTAATTCCTTTTGAACCATCAAGATTACTACCACACTCGACATTAGTCAGATTTACACTCGGTGCTGCTGCACCAAATGTCCAAAGAAATACAACTTTGCCACTTTCGTCACTAATATATATTTCATTCGACGAAGAAGACTTAAGGAAAATTGCGGACATTGAAGACATGATGCCATTTGTATTAATCACAGTAACAAGGTTAGTTCCATTTTGATCGAGTTTTACTATTCATTTATTGTCTTGATCATTGATGTACAATATATAATTATCGTCGACAGCAGTAACTCTTGGAGAATTGAGACCACTTATGGATGAACCTGTTCCAATAAGAACAGTAGGAACTAACGAATTTAGAGAATAACATCGTACGGTATGCGTATCATGATTGGTTGTATACATGGCTCCACTTTTATCAAAACTAATATAATCAACATGATCTGAAGTATTGTTGACCGCTGCAGTTCGACTAGTTGCATTTGTAATCCATTTTTCAATGTATCCAGCCTGATGATCGCAAAGGTAAATTGTATCATTTCCTTGAACAATAATACATCTTGGATCTATAAGTGGATTAGAACTGGTGGCGGCCAACACTATGCCTGTTTGATTTCAAGAATAAGTATTAGCACCTAAAATGACAGATCATACTTCTTATATGCAACCAATCTAAGATAAATGAACTAATATGAACTGCAGGTTGTAGTGGTCATCGTTGTCGTCATGGTTACACTCGTATTAGTGGCTAAAAATTTTGAAGTGATTTATTTTTATTATAATTAAATATTAATAACTACTTACATGCAGTAGAAGTCGTAGTTAAACCAGTGTTTTGTTTAGCTAATGAAACATGAAAGAAGTTCTATTAATACGATCTATTTACTTTGTATTCATCAGTTCTGATACTTTTCTTTTCTATGTGGTTCTAAGAATTATTTTTTATTGTAGTACATTGATACTTAGATGATCACTGAACAACTTTTGCTTTTGGAAACATCTTAACAGAAATCCACTTGTAAAAGTTCTCTCACTTCTGTTAGCTTATCGAAATATTTTAATTGTGAAACATACATTTATGTGTCATGATGGTATAAATATGCTAATATTGTTGAATAGAAATCTCTATCAATCTAGAATGTTGTTTAAACTTGTACTCGGACTTTTGGTCTCAGTATCTTCGTGATGATGCTGGAACAAAGTGGTCTTTCATATTTTGGACTTTGTTACTTACTTTATAAAAAATATCGACAAGCCAATCTTCAACAATCATGACACTTACTCAGAGAAAAAAAAACCAATGAAAATGTAAAACGAATATCTATCATTGTGACAACTGGCTTAAGGAAAATTGAATTTAATAATAGTTCTGTTGCCTCATTGAAGAATCCGAGCGGATTATTTAATAAATTTTATGAAAGTCATACAAGGTCGTCATAAAAATAACGTCCTTAACTTGTCAATATTTACTAAGTATGATAATAGTTGCTAGCAACTCTGCCGGTAAAATGGTACCGAAAATAGCAGCTATCTAGATGTAACAACAACGATGAGTCATCATGAACATAGAACGTTTTCATAATCAATAATACATGT